TAGCAAAACTAGGGCGACGCAGTTGCCTCCTCATAGACAGGGGGATTGTGCGATTGATCTCCAGGCAGGAGCAGCGCTCCCACGGAGCCATGTGTATCCTTTGTCTCAAGAGGAGAGAAAAGCTATGGAGACTTACATAGCCGAATCTTTGAGACAGGGATACATTCGGCCCTCCATTTCTCCCGCCTCCTCTAGCTTCTTTTTTGTGAAAAAGAAAGATGGAGGGTTGCGCCCGTGCATTGATTACCGTGGTCTCAATCAGATTACTGTGAAATACAGTTATCCACTCCCTCTGATTGCGACCATGACGGAGTCATTGCATGGAGCGCGGTTTTTCACAAAACTGGATCTCAGGAGCGCGTATAACTTGGTGCGCATTAGGGAGGGTGACGAATGGAAGACAGCGTTTAGTACCACGTCAGGTCATTTAGAATATCTCGTCATGCCATATGGGTTGATGAATGCTCCATCAGTCTTCCAATCCTTCGTAGATGACATTTTCCGGGATATGCAGGGACAAGGGGTGGTCGTGTACGTTGATGAAATTCTGGTGTACTCGTCTACCCGAGCCGAGCATATAACCCTGGTGCGTCGTGTATTGAGGAGGCTGTTGGAACACGACCTATATGTCAAGGCAGAGAAATGTCTGTTTTTCCAGGAGTCGGTCTCCTTTTTGGGTTATCGGTTGTCCGCGTCAGGGGTAAGAATGGAGGTGGATCGTGTGTCCGCTGTGCGTAATTGGCAAACCACAACTACTGTAAAAGAGGTGCAGCAGTTTTTGGGCTTTGCGAATTACTACCGGAGGTTTATCCAGGGTTTTGGACAGGTGGCAGCTCCCATCACGTCCCTTCTGAAGGGGGGTCCGGTGCGACTGCAGTGGTCAGCCGATGCGGACAGGGCCTTTAGGAGACTGAAGGACCTGTTTACGTCGGCTCCGGTGCTGGCGCATCCGGATCCCGCATTACCCTTTCAGGTTGAGGTAGACGCGTCTGAGGCTGGTATAGGGGCCGTTCTCTCTCAACGGTCCGGCACGCCACCTAAACTCCGCCCCTGTGCTTTTTACTCTAAGAAGCTCAGCCCGGCGGAGCGTAACTATGACGTTGTTGACAGGGAGCTGTTAGCTGTAGTTCAAGCCCTTAAGGTGTGGAGGCATTGGCTTGAGGGGGCTCAACACCCTTTCCTCATTTTGACTGACCATCGGAACCTGGAGTACATCCGGGCAGCGAGGAGACTGAACCCTCGCCAGGCTCGATGGAGTATGTTTCTCACCAGGTTCGTATTTAAAATCACGTACATCCCTGGGTCCCAGAATGGTAAGGCAGATGCGCTGTCCCGGCGGTATGACACGGAGGAGAGGTCCGTTGAGCCCACTCCCATACTACCGGAGTCTTTCCTTGTGGCACCGGTGGTGTGGGAGGTCGATGCCGAAATCGAGCGAGCGTTGCGTACCGACCCCAGCCCTCCACAGTGTCCTGAGGGTCGGAAGTACGTTCCGCTCGAGATTCGGGATCGACTCATTTACTGGGCTCACACGTCACCCTCCTCTGGACATCCGGGTATCGGCCGGACAGTGCATTGCCTTAGCACTAAATACTGGTGGCCTACTTTGGCTAGGGATGTGAGGGTTTATGTCTCCTCCTGCTCGGTGTGCGCCCAGTGTAAGGCGCCCCGACATCTGCCCAGGGGTAAGTTACAGCCCCTACCCGTTCCACAACGACCATGGTCCCACCTCTCGGTGGATTTTGTAACAGACCTTCCCCTCTCTCAGGGGAATACCACCATCCTGGTCGTTGTGGACCGGTTCTCTAAGGCCTGTCGTCTTCTCCCTATGTCGGGTCTTCCTACTGCCCTACAGACTGCTGAGGCCCTATTTACCCACGTCTTCCGGCATTACGGGGTCCCTGAGGATATAGTGTCTGATCGAGGCCCCCAGTTTACCTACCGGGTGTGGAGAGCGTTTATGGAGCGTTTGGGGGTCTCGGTTAGCCTTACCTCGGGGTACCACCCGGAGAGTAACGGGCAGGTCGAACGTGTCAACCAGGATGTGGGTAGGTTTCTGAGGTCGTATTGCCAGGACCGGCCTGAGGAGTGGGCGCGTTACATTCCCTGGGCCGAGATGGCCCAGAATTCTCTCCGCCACTCCTCTACCAACCTAACCCCTTTCCAATGTGTATTAGGTTACCAGCCGGTTCTGGCACCGTGGCAGCAGAGCCAGATCGAGGCCCCTGCGTGGAACGCTGCCCACGTCCACCTGCAGCGGGCCGTCCGTCGTCACAAGGCGAGCGCCGATCTCCACCGCAGTGAGGGGCCGGTGTACGCACCCGGAGATCGAGTCTGGCTCTCTACCAGAAACCTACCCCTCCGCCTGCCCTGCCGGAAGCTGGGTCGGCGGTTTGTGGGGCCCTTTAAAGTCCTGAGAAGATTGAACGAGGTGTGTTATAAGTTACATCTACCTGTTGAATATAAGAATATTAACCCCTCGTTCCATGTGTCTCTTCTCAGGCCGGTGGTAGCTGGTCCACTCCAGGACAATGAGATAGGAGAGACTCCTCCGCCCCCATTGGACATCGAGGGGGCTCCGGCGTACACCGTTCGGTCCATCTTGGACTCCAGACGCCGGATGGGGGGTCTCCAGTATCTCGTGGAGTGGGAGGGGTACGGCCCGGAGGAGCGGTGCTGGGTGCCGCGGAGGGACATCTTAGACCCATCTCTCCTGCTCCGCGTCCTCCTGGTCGTCCCCGAGGCCTGGGGTCGGCGCACGGCTGGAGCCGCGCGTCAAGGGGGGTGTACTGTCACGGTTTCGGCCGAGGCTGCTCCTCCTCCTGGTTCGGGCAGGCTTCGGCGGTCGTCGTCCCCGGAGTACTAGCTGCCACCGATCTATGTTTCATGTTCGTTTGGTTTGGTCTTAATGTTGTACACCTGTGTATAGTTAGTCCTCGTTAGTGTTCTATTTAGTTCTCGTTGTGTGTGTCGGTGTTTGTGTGTGATTGCGCTTCTGTTACGTGTTGGAGCTACTATTTCCCTCCAGTGTTTTGGAGTGGTTACGTTGCACATGTTTTGTGCGCCGTTTATTTTGTCGCCTGTGTGCGCCTTGTATTCGCCTTCAGGCTTATTGTGCTTTTGTTTTGTGTGAATTTTGCACTAAAGCCTTTGGACTGAGCCTCTGCGTGCTGCGCCTGATTCCTACACCACACCCACCTTCAGCACCCTATGACAATGCTACAGGACAGGTGGACCTGTGCCGCTCTCCCTCTCTGGGCGGCAGCTACACGGGAGTTGAAACCATGGGCTTGTTTTGGACCATGGCGCCCGAGACTCCACACAGCAAAATGGTCGTGAGAGATGTGTTGACCCCTATTCTGGCGGACATTGAGGTATTCAGTACAGAGGGACCAGGGACAGTACTGGGGAGAGTGACCAATGAAAGAGCTTAACTAGGAGAAGGTGTGCGGCGGACACCAGTCAAAGGAGAGAAAATTAATGGGACCCTTTTTACTCCCCCAGGTAAAGTAGTCAAATCAAACTGTATTGAACCTTTTTCTGCAGTGGGCTAAATCAGGGTCACACAGTGTTTCTTGGTAGTCTAAAACCAATCTACTTTGAAACAAAAGTATAAACCTCACACACATGGTTATTAAGAAGAGCTCTACCAGGCCAGATATGAAGTTGACTTTCATTCCATTTTGAGTTTGCATCCCAGTATTACACGTTATATACATCACAGAAGACTGAAATATAACAAAACTGTTTGACATAGAAACACCAGATTTTCGTCAGTTTTTAAATTGTATTTATTTATTATTAATTAATTATGAAATTATGAAAAATATCAATAACATTCCACCCATGAGGCCAAAGAGGGCACTTTTGGTCATTGATGCAGGAAAGGGCTACAGAGCATTATAGCAAGGTTTAAATACACTTCATAGGGAATAGATCAAATACGGACCGAGCAGACATAGTCACATAGTCAACAAATACATTTCTCCCACTTACATTTGATAATGCCTCCATTAGGCATGACTGTAAAGCACTTGGTGACAACATTTCTGTGTAAAAAATGCCTTGATTGATTATGCACAGACAAAATTTAATCTGTCAGACGAATCAATGTCCTTTGGGGAGGTTTTGATGACTCGATTAGGGCTCCCGAATGACGCAGCGGTCTAAGGCACTGCATCTCAGTGCTAGAGGCGTCACTACAGACCCTGGTTCGATTCCAGGCTGTATCACAATCCGGCCGTGATTGGAAGTCCCATAGGCCGTCATTGTAAATAAGAATTTGTTCTTAACTGACTTGCCTAGTTAAATAAAAAATAATAAAAACAATCCGTGAACATTACTACATTACCAGGGCGTAATCACAACATGTAAAGTCATCTTATGCTTGTCCCCCCCCTATTAACACAGGGATGGGCAGCTGTGGTCCTCAGGGTGCCATGGTTTGTGCTTCGGTCCCTCAAACTATCAACTGATTTAGACCAGGGAAATCAAATCTGAGCAATCAGGGACAGTTACGGATCAATTAAGCTTCAGGGAGTATTGTAAAGTCCTCATATTACCATGCTCAAGTAAAATAACCTGTTTGTAATGGAGCTGGGACGATAAACCGAAAATGGTCGACGCTGACAGTACCAACCATTTATAATGGACACTTGACTGATATTGATAATCAGAATAAGTAGCCTACACTAGAGAAATGTGAAGTTTTGAAATTAAATAAGTCTGCTAATATCGGCTGCTGCTAACGGTACAATTGATAGTTCCTACATTCAAGGTGGTAATAGTAGGTCAAAGGGTAAACTAGTGTACAAAAGTAGGCTAACCGGTGCTCATTCATGTTATAAACGTATCGTTCTATTTATCTTTATTGTGATAATTCAGTCAATTTATCGTGATATGGATTTTTCGTCCATATCGACCAGCTCTAGATTGTAACAAATATTATTACACCCAGTGTCCATTATTACACCCAGTGTCCATTATTACACCCAGTGTCCATGTCCCCCTTCACCTACTCTGTCCCAGGGCCAGGTCCATTCCCAGGAGTGTTGGACCTGCCTGTGATGTTAAACGGGGTGTCAGAGGTCAGAGCCTGCCTCCTGTCTAACCAAGGCTTCGTGTTGCTCTGTTTGGCTATAAGGATCTGCCTAAGCAGGTCACATACTTTGACCACCTGGAATACTTTGAGGAAGCTGTGGAGTTCCTCAGTGGAAGACCTGAGGTAAGTGTTTGGAGAAATGTCTTGTTTTGGAAGACAGTTGACCAGTCTCTGAAACCAGCCCCTATCCCCAAACCTTTCCTGTCACATTGTCAGACATATGGCATCTGGGGTCGGGTATATGATACCCTGATACCCTTCTTGTAGCTCTGAAGAGATTGAATGAATTCAAGCGACGTGGTTGATTCTCACCAGGCTCTTTCCAGTTGGCTATAGGTGGGCCTGCATTTTTACAATATTGCTTATGTAATACTTTCAGATCTATGAGAAGTGTCTAAAGATATTAGATAGAGGTTGATTTTGGACTGGGCCAAATTACTCCAATGGTAGGGAACGCTCTTGTCCTCATGACTGTTTATTTCATGTCCGTACAGTTCCATGGTTCTGGTATTGGTGTAATATCTATATCCAAGAGTGGAGACTTATAATAATATGGCGACTTACAGTCATGCGTGCATACATTATTATTATTATTTTTATTTTTTGTGTATGGGTGGTCCCGGGGATCGAACCCACTACCTTGGCGTTACAAGCGCCGTGCTCTACCAGCTGAGCTACAGAGGACCACCTCATCTACCGGGCATCTCAGCTACCATCTCCATTAACGGCTGTAACTCCAATGCCTGGCTTCCCGTGCACTACAAAGGTACTGTTTATCATACCTCCTCTGTTACCTGATACAGTGGGGAGAACAAGTATTTGATACACTGCCGATTTTGCAGGTTTTCCTACTTACAAAGCATGTAGAGGTCTGTACTTTTTATCATAGGTACACTTCAACTGTGAGAGACGGAATCTAAAATCAAAAAATCCAGAAAATCACATTGTATGATTTTTAAGCAATTAATTTGCATTTTATTGCATGACATAAGTATTTGATACATCAGAAAAGCAGAACTTAATATTTGGTACAGAAACCTTTGTTTGCAATTACAGAGATCATACGTTTCCTGTAGGTCTTCCTGTAGGCCCACTCCTCCATACAGACCTTCTCCAGATCCTTCAGGTTTCGGGGCTGTCGCTGGGCAATACGGACTTTCAGCTCCCTCCAAAGATTTTCTATTGGGTTCAGGTCTGGAGACTGGCTAGGCCACTCCAGGACCTTGAGATGCTTCTTACGGAGCCACTCCTTAGTTGCCCTGGCTGTGTGTTTCGGGTCGTTGTCATGCTGGAAGACCCAGCCACGACCCATCTTACTGAGGGAAGGAGGTTGTTGGCCAAGATCTCGCGATACATGGCCCCTTCCATCCTCCCCTCAATACGGTGCAGTCGTCCTGTCCCCTTTGCAGAAAAGCATCCCCAAATAATGATTTTTCCACCTCCATGCTTAACGGTTGGGATGGTGTTCTTGGGGTTGTACTCATCCTTCTTCTTCCTCCAAACACGGCGAGTGGAGTTTAGACCAAAAAGCTCTATTTTTGTCTCATCAGACCACATGACCTTCTCCCATTCCTCCTCTGGATCATCCAGATGGTCATTGGCAAACTTCAGACGGGCCTGGACATGCGCTGGCTTGAGCAGGGGGACCTTGCGTGCGCTGCAGGATTTTAATCCATGACGGCGTAGTGTGTTACTAATGGTTTTCTTTGAGACTGTGGTCCCAGCTCTCTTCAGGTCATTGACCAGGTCCTGCCGTGTAGTTCTGGGCTGATCCCTCACCTTCCTCATGATCATTGATGCCTCACGAGGTGAGATCTTGCATGGAGCCCCAGACCGAGGGTGATTGACCGTCATCTTGAACTTCTTCCATTTTCTAATAATTGCGCCAACAGTTGTTGCCTTCTCACCAAGCTGCTTGCCTATTGTCCTGTAGCCCATCCCAGCCTTGTGCAGGTATACAATTTTAACCCTGATGTCCTTACACAGCGCTCTGGTCTTGGGCATTGTGGAGAGGTTGGAGTCTGTTTGATTGAGTGTGTGGACAGGTGTCTTTTATACAGGTAACGAGTTCAAACAGGTGCAGTTAATACAGGTAATGAGTGGAGAACAGGAGGGCTTCTTAAAGAAAAACTAACAGGTCTGTGAGAGCCGGAATTCTTACTGGTTGGTAGGTGATCAAATACTTATGTCATGCAATAAAATGCAAATTAATTACTTAAAAATCATACAATGTGATTTTCTGGATTTTTTAGATTCCGTCTCTCACAGTTGAAGTGTACCTATGATAAAAAGTACAGACCTCTACATGCTTTGTAAGTAGGAAAACCTGCAAAATCGGCAGTGTATCAAATACTTGTTCTCCCCACTGTATGGGAAAGATAACCCTCACACCCTCCGGGCACCTTGATTGCCGTGAAGCTATGACGAGGGAAGGGAACCAGGGTTCCGTGATCCCAATAGAACGTTCCAGTTCTAGGTTCCTCTTCGCCGTCTCGGAGGACGACAAGAACTGGAACAGCTGTCTCTTTGCCCAGCGGGCCGCCGCCCGGCTGAGGCATCATGGGAAAGATAACTTTGAGGTTGTGACGTACCCCAGGGCGGGGCATTTCCTGGAGGTGCCCTACATGCCCCACTGTCCGTCAGGCTTCCACTCTGCGCTGGGTAAAGTGGTGGTGTTTGGGGGAGAGGCTAAAGCCCACCACGAGGCTCAGTTGGACCTGTGGAGGAGGGTCCAGGAGTTCTTCAGGAAACACCTGAAGGACAGCAGCAACACTGTCCAGAAATCTATGTTATAAACTAAAGGGTAAAACACACAGGGATGGACTTGAACCACTGGGCCTGTCTGGGCTAAAGATAAGAATATGTTTCGAAACACACATCTACATTCATGTGGATGCTAGCATGATTATGGATAGTCCTGAATGAATCATGAATAATGATGAGTGAAAAAGTTATTATTTACAATAAAAGTGACTCCAAAATGACACTACATTATTTGCCATTCATTTCTATTGGGCACAAAATAATCTGAAACACAACCCAAACAAACAGCATATGCAGCCAACAAATGTGTAGAGTCACAAGCTTGAGGTAGTCATTGCGTGCTATGAATATGGGACCAAATATGTAACTTTCTACTAGTCCCCTAAAATGGGGGGACTAGGTACAAAAAGTGCTGTAATTTCTAAACGGTTTACCCGATATGGGTGAAAACACCCTAAAATTTGATCTGACAGTCTGCACTTTAACACGGTAGTCATTGTTTCATTTATAATCCAAAATGCTGGAGTACAGAGCCAAAACAACAAATGGGTCACTGTCCCAATACTGTTGGAGTTCACTGTGTGTGTGTTTTAGTGTTTTATTGCCAGGCTGTAGTCTATAATAAATAGAGGCGCTATACAAGCTCCCGGTAATTTATTAGATAAACCACCAACGGTTCGACATCTCAGTGCCTTCTTCACAGTGTAACACTGAGTGCATATACAGCAGAACACGTGAGAATGTGCCTGTGCGCTGTGCTCTCTCTTCAGAAAGCTACAGTATAAGAGAAAAGGAAAGATCAACACATACCGTGTACTTCCTGTTTCTGCTAAGAGAAACTGAAACTGTTTAGAATCACCCACATGCAGTCCGCCTGCTGTCAATGAATACGCAGGGAAATCACAAGGATACACAATGTGAGCAGGATATTGATTAGATCCATAGACGTAAATCAATAGAGTGATGTATCTCTGTGAATTAGATCATTCAAGATGTATTTTCCTTTCACAATAGTTAGATTTAAAACACTTTAATATTAAGAGACAGGAAATGTCCCACAAGGTGCAGCTGTGTAATGATCATGCTGTTTAATCAGCTTCTTGATATACCACACCTGTCAGGTGGATGGATTATCTTGGCAAAGGGGAAATGCTCACTAACAGGGATGTAAACAAATTTGTGCACAACATTTTAGATAAATATGCTTTTTGTGCGAATGGAAAATGTCCGGGATCTTTTATTTCAGCTCATGAAACATAGGACCAACACTTTACATGTTGCGTTTATATTTTTGTTCAGTATACAGTGCATTCGGAAAGTATTCAGACCTTCCAAACCTTCCAAACTTCTTCCATTTAAGAATGATGGAGGCCACTGTGATCATGGGGACTTTCAATGCTGCAGAATGTTTCTGGTACACTTCCCCAGATCTGTGCCTCAACACAATCCTGTCTCGGAGCTGTACAGTCAATTCCTTTTACCTCATGGCTTGGTTTTTGCTCTGACATGTACTGTCAACTGTGGGATCTTATATAGATAGGTGTGTGCCTTTCCAAATCATGTCCAATCAATTGAATGTATCACAGGTGGACTTCAATAATGTTATAGAAACATCTCAAGGATCTCAATGGAAACAGGATGCACCTGAGCTCAATTTCGAGTCTCATAGCAAAGGGTCTGAATACTTATGTAAATAAGGTATTTCTGTTTTTTTATTTTTTATACATTTGCAAAAATTTCTAAAAACCTGTTTTCGCATTGTCATTATGGGGTATTGTGTGTAGATTGATGAGGAAAATTTTTTATTTAATCCATTTTAGAATAAGGCTGTAACGTAACAAAATGTGGAAAAGGTAAAAGGGCCTGAATACTTTCCGAATGCACTGTAAAAGACTAAAATGTAAATGGCAAGGTAAATGGATCAACAACCCTTTTAAACGAATGAAAAACATGAACACGACCTTTTGAATGATCACTATAGAAATATCTCTCAATACAACTGTATGACTCACAAGGCCTTGCTGGTGAGGTGCCACTTCACCTTAACAAAAGGCCTAAGATAAAAGAGCTATGGTGAGTTTGCGGTGAAGGTCTATTATTATTATTATTACTAGTATACAAGTGAATGGTGTTTGGATATTACATAATATAGTATTGAACGGTCAGGGGTTGGAACCAGTTCAGGGAACAGAATTGAAAACCTGAAAATAACAAACTTTTTCGAGGAACAGAATCAGAACTGGGAAAGGAAGTGATTTATACTGTTCCGGAACCGAACGGTTATTTTAAAAGCATGGGAACCGGTTAATAACGTTATTATACGTTCCAGACATTTTTTTCAGCCCCACAAAAAATGCAACAATGCACCTATGCAAAGCCCTCACTCTGTAACCCAGAAACATATTCTAGTGTCTGTCTGCCAGCTGAAAATGTGCCGGTGTGTATGCATGTATAGGTCACCTGCCCCTCCCCCTCCGAAACATAGGCTACTGTAGCCTACTGACGTTACAAGAGTGATTCAGAAATTAGGGAGAGATTTTTAATTAGAGAAGAACGGATTAACTTTTTCAATGCTAGTTAAGGATACTATAGTTATCACTTTCACATTGCATTTATTAACTTTATTAAGACGTGTTTTTAATTCTGGTGCCGCTCTGCATACACAAGTTTGTTAGCTAGCTAGATAGCTCTGGTCCAACCATAGAGAATGATAGAGGCCTCTAGCGGCCAAAAGGCCATTGAGGGTTTCCACCATGCTTCCGCCATTTTAAGAGTAGTCAAAGTAGTCGACTGGGTGGGGATTCCTATGGGTTGTAGCCTCAGTGGCGCTGCCCATCATGTCACAGACGCTATAATGGCACAAATATAAAGACGAGTCCTGTATTTATCTCATGGGTCCAACATTAAGCCAACTCTCAGAGGTTCAAAGACATCCAAAGTTCCGCCATAGAAGCCGCTCCTCCGTAGGTATAATTCAGTGGGCGTAATTCAGATAATGCATGTCATCACAAGATGCCCAGCACTTCAAGCCAAGCCTCCTCCTCCACCCTCGCTCGCTGTCTCCCCACCCGCAACATTTCCGTCGCATCTCGTGCCCTACATTTGTCTGTCTATCGCGCATGTAAACGACTATAGCTTGCCCGCTCCATAGCAAAGCTGCTCTATCCGCGCACTGAATGGTGAAGTAATTAAATGTGGAAATACAGTGCCTTCGGAAAATTATTCAGACTCCTTGACCTTTTCCACATTTTGTTACGTTACAGCCTTATTCCTAAAATTGATTAAATTATACACAATACCCCATAATGATAAAAGCGAAAACACGTTTTTTTTAAAATGTTGGCATGAGACTCGAAATTGAGCTCAGGTGCATCCTGTTTCCATTTATCATCCTTGAGATGTTTCTACAACTTGATTGGAGGCCACCTGTGGTAAATTAAATTGATTGGACATGATTTGGAAAGGCACACCTGCCTATATAAGGTCCCACAGTTGACAGTGCATGTCAGAGCAAAGACCAAGCCATGAGGTTGAAGGAATTGTTCATAGAGCTCCGAGACAGGATTGTGTCGAGGCACAGATCTGGTGAAGGGTACCAAAAATTCTGCAGCATTGAAGGTCCCCAAGAACACAGTGGCCTCCATCATTCTTAAATGGAAGAAGTTTGGAACCACCAAGACTCTTCCTAGAGCTGGCCGCCCGGCCAAACTGAGCAATCGGGGGAGAAGGCCCTTGGTCAGGGAGGTGACCAAGAACCCTATGGTCACTCTGACAGAGCTCCAGACTTGTTTAGCTTGTCTGGCAGCAAGATGTCGCATTGTCTGGCAGCTCAAATGCATTAAGAAATAAATAAATTCCACAAATTAACTTTTAAGAAGGCACACCTGTTAATTTAAATGCATTCCAGTTGACTACCTCATGAAGCTGGTTGAGCGAATACCAAGAGTGTGCAAAGCTGTCATCAAGGCAAATGGTGGCTATTTGAAGAATCTCAAATATAAAATATATTTTGATTTAACACTTTTTTTTGGTTACTACATGATTCCATATGTGTTATTTCATAGTTTTGATGTCTTCACTATTATTCTACAATGTAGTAAATAGTAAAAATAAAGAAAAGCCCTTGAATGAGAAGGTGTGTCCAAACTTTTCACTGGTACTGTTTATACTCTACATAGAGCTACTTGAACAGAGGCAGAAGGTAATAAGCAGATGATTAGTTGACAATAAAATCATAAATTAAACCTGGATTGAAGTGATCTTTGTCTCTATGCAATTGTAAAATACATTATAAGGTTGTATGGAAGACAGGGTTGCAGGCCTGGTCCCAGTGTTTCCTATTTAAGTGTTCCTCCGAAATAATTCAGTTAACCAGCTGCACAATTCAAACCACCCCAGTTTCACAGATTATTGTAAAATAGACACGGATTGAGTATTGGAAATTCGTGTTCAGTACACGATTTTGTATACAGTGAATTTCAATCACAGATAAAGACAGCAGGCGCTACAAATACGTTTTTTGAATTACATTTTTGCATTTTGTCATTTTAGAAAATGTCCATAATATATCAGGCGCTAATAGTGGAATGATAGTGTTTCACAGTATTAACCTACTTACCAGCTTAACCAGTGTTGTGAAATTCAGTTATTGATTTCTCCCGAGAAAACAACCCCTAACCTTAACCCCTAACCCCTAACCATAACCCTAACCCCTAACCCTAACCCCTAACCCTAACCCCTAGCCATAACCCTAACCCCTAACCCCTAACCCCTAACCATAACCCTAACCCCTAACCCTAACCCCTAGCCTAGCTAATGTTAGTGACCTAGGTAGCTTACTAAACGTTAGCCACAACACATTTGGAATTCGTGTAGCCTAATGTACACGAATGCGTTACTAAGAAAGAACATCGTGGAATACTATAAATTGTGCCTTCCTGTATCATACTTAGCTAAAAAATATATTCTATTCTACTGAGCCATTTACTTTATGTTTCTATTCTTATCTTTTATTATTTCTTATTGTTGTTGC